CACTGCATTGTGTTAAGTATTCTTCATCACTTAAAGTCTGTACGTCTTGCCAAACCAGTGAAGCTAGTTGTTATTATTATTATCATTATTATTATTATTATTTTCGATTCCTATAGCTCTTCATGTTATCAGGCAATCGGCGATGCAAGCGATCTGAGGAGAGGAGAAAAAAAAAAGAGATCAACAGCCACAGGCAAGATCTCTATTGATCAATGGCCACCCTATTTAACCGCAGCGCACAAACACAGATAAGGAGTTCCACCAGCTCTACATAAAACCCTGTCATTTCTCTATCGATCTGGCAGAAGGATTCCTACACCACGGTGATCTATAAAACCGTCTTGGTCATGCGGGGGAGCCAGCCTGTTCTGGCCGGTGTGGCCTCCCTATTCACGTGTACAAGTAGGCCAAAAGAGCAGCTTTCTATGAATGCCATGTCTGTAGCAATCTATGAACACATTCATAATGCATTATAATGCATTCATAAAGCATTATAAACATGGCTATAAAGATTTACAAAAAGGCATAACATTATCGGCATGTTTACCATGCATTATGAATGCTTTATGAAGTTCACCTATAATACACTGTAGATACCTTCATAATGCAGTACAGAGTATACTTACTTCTTATACCAACCATTATAATGGATTATGGAAGTATCTATATTGAACTATTGGAGGTTGTGACAAATTATAATGAACACTTATGACTGTCAATAGAAGATGCTGTAATGCTTTATTAAATATTATACTGATCATTATAATGCATTATGAAGGTATCTATAATACATTATAGATGGCAGCTTCAATTAAAGTTACCAAGTTGCCCATTCGTGCAGTAAAAGATGGCTGCAGTTTTACAAATGAAGCAGCATCTCTTGAGTGAGGTGCATTGAACAGCTGTCAAGGGGGACTCTAGCTGTGACCTATCTCTACTTGAGTGGTCAATTTGTCTTCAAACATTTTTTCTTTATTGTGAGTCATTGACACAGGCTGTGTAAAATCTTAATTGCTTCAGTGGTGAATTGTTGATTAATTAGATAGACAATGTTTCTAGGAATCTGACTTTGAACACCAGAGAATATGATCACCAATAGTTTTTTTTTTTTTACAGAATGCAGAATTTCATTTTCTGTATGTCACATATGTCACCATTTGGCATCCCTATGAATAACAAACATGGAAGAATAAATGTCAAACCTAGTCCTTTTCTTCTTTGAAAAAAAGTATGATTTTAAAAGTTGAATTCCCCAAGCTTCGTCACTCTGATATATTTCCAAATAGTGTGTGTGTGGTGGTAATGTGGCCTTGTCTCATCAGTCACCAGCTTCAGAGAAGGCACCAGGGATTGCTGTGATACCCAGGCCCCAGGAGACAAGCAGTGACATATGTCTGATCTAGAGTACAACACCACGACCACACCCCCATTCCCTTTGAGGCAACATTCTTTTTTTTAATTGTTCATTTGTGGACGACACATTGGATATTATGACAGTAGCAAGGGGAGATTCCAGACTTCGGAATGGTGTGCATCCCATTTCAAAGTTTGAGAGGCGAAGGACAGTGCATTTTTGAACTACAGTTTGATTTCTTCAGTGAAAAATGGAAGTGTTTAGTAATTGCAGTCATCAAAGAATAGCGCGTGTGTTCTGCATCGTAGGCATATTAATGGAATTCAAACAAAAGAAGATGGCCACTTCACACAGAGCCAGTAAGGCAGACTTTTCTGGCACGTAGCGCTTGTGTAATTATGGGTTACAGGTTGTCTTTTTTAAAGGGGGGGCATTCAGGGTAATCAGATTGGGTAATGAAGCAGCACTTTCCTGTAAAGTAAGCTAGCTGTGACAGGTAGCATGTGCCAAGCTACAAACCTGTCATGTACGATTATCCTGGAGGTTGAGGATACTCACCAGGGCAGATGTTGCCAAATAAATCAAAACATGGGGTTTAAAAAAAAAGGTATGTGAATACAATGTAGTGTCACATGACCAATTACCTTCTGCCTATTTTTTTTTAGCTGTTCACTGTCAGTCAAACAAAGAAAAATTGTATGTCGGATGCATGTAGGAAAAAAAAGCACTGCGGATTAACTGTCCTTCACTCAAAGAATATGTATCCCCAGGCGCCTTCCTGAATTATTCATTTAAATTTGCCAAAAAAGAAAGAAAAATATATTGATGGGAACTTGGCTTTAATGACCTCATTAGGTGTGTGCACTCGAAACTGGGTGGGATTTCTTAGATTTTAAATGGGAAAGGGGGATGCTTGACCCCCGGAATGATTTTCCGTCATGCCGTCATAAACAATGCTCTCGACCCGACCTGTGCTTCCAGGCACAAGTATTAGTGTGAGCTCCGAATCCCGGCCACCCAACATTCCCCCTCCACAGTCAGTCCCGGACCTCGTAGTCCGTTTCTCCAACCTTATACATACGAGCGACCCAATGCCCCCAAATCCTGTCCACTCGGGCAGACATATTGGTCATTATGTTCTGGATCTCATTCTTACATGCAGCTTCAGTGGTGACTTGCTGCTATGCATGTTTTTATTTGTTTATGTCTGCATTCAGTCACGCAAACTTATTTTCATATATGGTAAAAAGAAAAATCATACTATTTATTGAGTAATTTTTTTAGTACTGCAGTTTATAATTTTTTTACTTTTGTCAGCCATGTGTTTCAAGCCACAGAGAAACAGGGTGGATTCTTTGCCTTCTGCATCTCTGTGGCTTTCAGTGGGAGCGTTTTTTTTGGGGGGGGGGGCAGGTGGGAGGGTTGTTTTATCCGTCTCATTAGGCGCCTCCGTGCCTTCGGATGAGATGCGAGTTCTGTTTGAGGAGCTTAATCAAACAGTTCATTGAATCCTGACAGCATTAAAAGGTGAGAGAGCCGCAGCTCGGGGACCACAGGGCCGTTGGAGGTCAGTGTATTGAAAGGTATTTGTATTTGCCTGAGGGGGCTGCTGATTTCTGGCGAGACTGCCGCCGACTGCGTTGCTGTTTTATAAGTTGCGGCACATTTGCCGTTACCCCCGAACACACAGCACAGGCTGCTTTGGAGGAGCTAGCTTCAGAATTGTCTTCAACCTGGTCAACGCGGTAACCAACCGCCCTGGCCCATGCTCCCAGCAGTCAGGCAGATCAAATACTATTTCCTTCCATTTTCTTTGCCATGAAGTGCCCCTGGACACTGACAAACACAGCATCCATAAATACACAAATAAAATGTCAATAAAAATTAAAATTTAACGCCAACATTTTATACCGAAACTTGAATGAAGGGGTCTGTGGACATTGGACTTCTGCTAAAGTTTATACACTAGGAATTATAGAAAACCATTATTTGAAATACCTTGAGAAAGACTGATAAACATCCCAATATGCAGTATATAATTCAATATATACTCTAAAATGCTCCTCTGTTTGATTCTCCTATAAATTGATGGCATTTTGAATCAAAAGAAGTGCTGAATATCACCATGGATTTTGTGGGTGTAGTCCAGGGTAATGTATTACTCTGCCTACCCATTCGGGCTTCATAACTCTTAATAACCAAGGCGCTGGCCACAAAAGAATAAATAGATGTAAATATATTTCCTGCACCTCTGGAGGACGCTGCATGCCTCTCAGCTTGCATTTGTAACAAGACGGGCTTGTCTGAGATCCTCTTGTTTATTTCATTATACCTAAGGCGCTTTTCTGCCCGCTTCGGACTTGCTGAACGAGCGGACCTGTCCTTGAGCAACTGGGGCCGATTCGACTACCTGTTTAGCACAACGACCGGAGCTTAAATTCGACTTAATATATCCCCAACTGGACGATCCCATTTAATTTTCTTTCATAAGAGCAGCGATGGAGTGCCACGGCAGCCCGGGTAGAGCGAGGTCTGCAGATTGAACCTTCCTGGTGTATTCTGAGACCCTGACGAAATGCTTCCCCGTCGGCCCATCACCGTGAGATCGCACATTGCCTCAAATAATGCGATGGCAGGATGATCTTTATACATTATGAATACCCAAAGCGTGCCCTGGGAATGGGCGTTCCTCCTGGCTGTTGGGTTATAAAAAACATTGAATCGACATTGTTTGCAGTCTTATGTCAACGTGGATTAATGTGTTCTTTTAAATATTAATATTGAATGTGTTTTGTTTCAGCGATTCGAATATTGTTATCCATCTATCTTCTGTAACTGCTTACCCAGTACAGGGTCACAGTAAGCCTAGAGCCCATCCCAGGAAGCACAAGGCAGAGGACAAACTCGAATCTACATCAGTCCTCTGCAGGGCACATATATAATACTGTATACTATGGGGCAATTTAGAGAGACCAACTGACTTGTTTTTTAGGAAACTCATAGTCTGACATTTTTATTCAAGGAAAATGTTACAGGATGAAATACATCTAGTTCAGATTATTTTATTTTACGTTGAAAAACTGGAAGGCAATTGAAATATTATAGCAATGTATAAAAAAGCCATTGGTTTGTACAGACAAATATAGTATAGAGCTTAACTGTTTTTTCTTCTTCTCACATTAGCAAAACAAAGGAAATATGATACCTGCTTCATTCAGCTATGACGTTAAAGGACTATATACAGTAGGCAGTTAGAAAGAGCTGAACAGTCTAGTTTTTAGTTAGTATTAGGCAGGAGATGCCAAAATGCCAAACAGTCTCCTTTCTGATTGGTATTGGCCAGGACACACTAAAGAGCTTGACAGTCTCCTATCTGATTGGTATTGGCCAGGAGATACTGAAATGCCAAACAGTCTGCTTCCTGATTGGTTTTAGGCAGGAGACATTAAAGAGCTGGACAGTCTCCTTCCTGATTGTTATTATCCAGAAGATGCTGAAATCCCAAACCGTCTCTTTCCTGATTGGTATTAGCCAGGAGACACTCATGAGTTGAACAGTCTCCATTTTTACCCATTTCTCTTGGGGTTTTCAGGCTCCCCAGTCATCATTATTGTAATGAGTCCTTCCATATTGTTGCCGGTCATTCTTTTTCTGTTTTACTTTCAAATTTCTAAGTGTCATGCATTGAGTATTTTCATAATGTGGTAAAAAGAAGAAAACTACCAAACTTATGGATTTATGCACTTTGGAATGCATTGTTTATTAATTTATTTTTACTCATCCTCACTAGATATGAAAACATCAACATTGAACAACATCAGATAAGTGTGAGGAGGGAGGGGACTGGGTGGGGGTTGGGGGTAGAATGGAGTGCAACAGAAGCATGATTCCCAGCAAAACTAACACAGTTTTCTGTAAGATTTCTGGCTAATTAAGGAGAATACATCCCTGCATATTTATGCAGGCCATGTAAGTGCAGTCGTCTGGTGGAACTAGTCAAATGAACAACATTGTCCAGGACCTAAGGGCTTAGTGCTGAGAGCTGGCATGGGGTGTGTACTGTATATGTGCCGTGAAGCTGCTTTGTGTGAAAAGTTGATAATTAGTCCCACAGTGGGTAACATAGAGATGGAAGATAAGGATACTTAGCACATTATGCTTCACTTTGACACCTAGAAAACATTGGTTGATAATAGTTATTTTTTTAAATCATTAAAACTTACAACCTGGCTTTTCATGCCACAAAGAAATATCAGTAGATACCATATTCAGTCACAGTGAAATGCGCAGAAATTGTAATTAACATCTGAATCGTCTTCCGTTTTTGTTCAAAAAGGCACTTCATAATAATTAGCAATTATAATTGGGCTTTTTTGAGTTGAGTTATTTTTCTCTAATCAGCCTGAGAGACCTAATTTCTAAATCACTGTAGTTTTCATTCTCCCCTTTTCCAAATAGCCCCAAAGAGTCTTATAATGAAACCATAGCAACATTTGATGTTGTGTCAAATAATTTTCTTGCACATTACTCAGCTATAAATTCAGCTAGTCATCCTATTACGAAAAACAAAACCAGTTTGCAGTTTTTACACACCTTTTACACACCTCCAGTTGAAATGTTTTATTGTGTATATTTGAAATATTTGTCTTACAGTATATAGTAAGTGATACTCTGCTCATTGTTTTAAATCAATTTTAATATCACATTCTAGTTTCTACAAAACTGTCACAAAACATCACAAAACAGGTTTTAGAGTGTATATCATCCATCCATCTATTTTCTATACCTGGTTGTCCCAGGATGATGTGTGTGAGGCAACAGTGCAAACCACTGTGCAGGTCACTTTGTCAGTATAAGCTGTTAATGTGGTTTTATGGTATGAATATCATATCTTGTTTAGTGCGTAAGAGGGTCCCATCTCAGATGATAGGTTTTGCTTCAGAATATTGGCCAGGGGTCAGGAAAAACACCCTCCTCAACTGGGGGGGGGGGGGGCGCACACGGAAGCCTCACTTTTCGTTTAGCAGACCTCATTAATCACTAGTGTGTCTCTGTTTTTCCCTCCCAGCTGAGCCATTGTTTTGGTGGGGCACATTTATCGGGGGTGGGGGGTGGCAGAGTAGAAGTGCCAGCTGGTTCATTAGCGATGGCCGAGCAGAACCTTTCAGGACGGGTTGGAGGTGTGGGGCCAGACTCAGGGACTCCTGTCAGGGTCGAATAAAACAAATCGCGCTGGGGGCTCCCAGCCCACATTTGACCTAGGGTCAAAAGAATTAATAAAAGATCACATACAAGGCTCACGACACCGCATTAAATATAGAGCCACACCAGGGACTCATTAGATACTCATATTTTACACTGTAAGCGATTTAAGCATGTTTACATCTATTCAGGTGTAGAATTACATAGAATATTGAAGGAAGAGACAGGGTAATATTCCAGTATTAGCAATATATTAATTAATAAGAATGTTCTACATCCATTTTCCTATTAATTGTGTAAGTTTTATTGCATTATTAGTGTTTCTAGCTATCATGTCATTATCATTTGGACAATATGTCCATAGCATCTTACCTGTGTTGCAATGTCTTTCTCATCTGTTTGATTCCGAAATGAATTGCAAATTACACTTTCTGCCAATTCTTTACATTGTTTGTGTATCCTGCACCTCCTAATAGTACAGAACTGCAGCACTGATCCCATGTGGTTCTTCATATAGATGTGAAGAACCTGGAGAACTTCCACCTGGTGGAGAGCGTCCAGGAGCAGGTGAACACGGCGCTGCTGGACTACACCATGTGCAACTACCCGCAGCAGACGGACAAGTTCGGCCAGCTGCTGCTGCGACTGCCCGAGATCCGAGCCATCAGCATGCAGGCGGAGGAGTACCTCTACTACAAGCACCTGAATGGGGACGTTCCCTGTAACAACCTGCTCATCGAGATGCTGCACGCCAAGCGCGCCTGAATGCTGGACTTGCCGCCCCCTCTTGCCCAGTCACCCGGCCCGGGCTCCAGTATCAGCCTTTGGCCCCGACTGCCCTTTCCAACCATAGCCCAATACACGTCACGTCACCACCTGCAAGAAACTTGGCCTCAGGCCTGGACTCTTTACTGAGATGTTGCAGACGTTGGCTTCTGGATTGATGGCAGAGATAAGAAAGCGATTGCTAACTTGAAACTTACTTGGAACTTGTCTCTCTCCCCCCCCCCCCAAAAAAAGTGATGTAACAGGATGGGTGGGTATACAAACAGAGGGAAGTGTGCACTTAGCGAGGACATATATTGCAAGGTAAGAGACGGCCCTTCCACTTCTAGCTAACACACTGAAAACAGCACCTGGACTTATGACATAGGCTTCATATTGATTAGACCATGATTCCCAGCGCTGGTACGTAAAGAATCCAGAACAGTCTCCAAAAGATGGAACACATAAGAGGAGGAGGTTCTCTCTCACCACCTCGTCTTAAATGCGTAAGAGCACAATGAAACAACTGGGACCCAGAGGAACACCATGACTGGCTACATCAAGTGGATACGATGTCATACCTCTATTTGCACCCCAAGAAAAACTTCTAATCAAACAAGCAACAAATACTAAATGAATCTGTTTTTAAAAGGGCAGTGACTCCTCCTTTTCATCCTTCCATTATCATCCGACGAATCTCACGTCAAAACTATGTACATGATTCAATTTATTTCTCATTTTTGGTTGCTGTCGATAGATTAACATTCTGGGTATGGTCATGTGACCTACTCAATAAAGAGAAAATGTTTCGATCAACTAGCATAAGCACGATGTAGTTGTTTCCCCAGAGATATGTCCAGTAATAAAATCACGAAATTGAAGAGTTAAATCCCATAGCATAAAACAGAGCACAATTTCTGCCTCTGTCAATACAAGACCAAAGCCTTCATCAGAACGGTGCGGTGCAAAGAGATATAAGTATTATCAGTATTATAAATTTGTGATGTCACAGTTATGTGAGTCTTGCCTTATTTCATTACCTTGCTAGCTAACTGTGCAGATGTGAATTAAAATATGTAAAAAAGTATATATATATAAAGTGTTAATGTTGTAAATTTAAAAATACAAGAGGTGTTTACATTTATTAGGTCCCGTGGGAGAGAACTGTGATGAATTGCAAAGCAATGATTTCCTAAAAAAAAATTCCTCTGCTTTATTTAGTCTGTACAGTTTTTTTTTTTAACCAGTGCTTAATTATGTCGTGAGACATTAAAATCAAAGGAATCTCACTTTTATTTGAATTCTAAGCTTTTTCTCTTAGCCAACAGTTCAGTTGTGTTTAGGTTTTTATTTGGGTTTCTGCCACTTATAATTGTAGAACTACTTGTTCTATATTCTACTGTATATCACTGGTTCAGATAAAGAAGAAATAATTTATTGCTTCTTGCTTTTAACTTCTCACACGCCATAAGCAAGGAGTCGTGTCATAATCGGATATATGGTTTACTGTAGCATGTTCAGAAATATTGTTGAAATGCAGTTCAGGGAGACAATGATCTTAAGAATGCTGACAGTTATTTTGATTAAATGTTTATGGAAATTAAAGGGAACTGAGTATTGCATTTGGGCTCACACATGTGACCGATGGCTCTGTCCCTTTTCTACACTGAATTCATAAAGGTTCAGTTTTCTCATTCTATATGTAAAATCCACATTTTTGTTCTCAACTAAAGACTACAAAGATTACATCTGTAGTGTCGCTTAATAGTTATAATGGAAGAAAGACATCTCAAGACAGTCACAATTCCATTTAAAGCATTGATAATTGGATCCGCATTCCTGACAGTCACTTTATAGGTTTGTAAAAGCTGCCATCTTAAATGACCTTGCGAAGAGTCACTTGCATTCATATTTTTGGGAAAGAATAGCATTCTGTCTGAGCAAATGTCCTACGAAAGAAGCTGTAGAATAGGCTAGTTGGGCTATTAATTTGTTTACTGTAATATTTTGAAACAAATGCCTTTGGAGGGTTTGCATGCATTTGGAAACTCCATCTGGATATAGTTTATGTGTGGAGACAACATACTACACAGGTCAGTGTTGTCCAGAAGCCATTATCATCATAAACATGTTAATCCCTAAACACACACACATATATACATACACATATATGTACATATATATGTATATATATTCATATATTCATGTGCAGGTCTATTTTGATGGAACATTTGAGGTATGTAGCAGTAGAACATCCTATCCAGTCTCTGTTCATTCCAGAGATCCCAAACTGGCTTTAACGTGACTTCCTGACATCTGTCTTATCAGACAATCCATGCCCCCTCATACAGTATGTCTCCATGGCGATGTCTTCAGCGTGCTGGTCCACAGCTTCACTCTGACCCTGTGGCCAAAATGAAAAGCTGTCTTGCTAGCTCCTGGCTGGACCTTCTTTTCAAGTGGTGGAAATTTCCCTCATATTCCAATAAATACTTTTAATGACTCTGTCCCTGCTTTGTCCTCAGCTTGGCCACATACGCCATCATATTTCATTAGAGCCCAATGTTACAGCTTAATTATTTAATTAGCCATGAATCATGAAACACTTTAGAACACAATATAGATTACAAATCACAAAAACAAGATATACAAAAAAAACTTACCTTCAGGAAATGCTACATAGTATCAATTGCTTTGGAGGACTTGACAATGCCATGCTAATCACAGGCCAGAAATGGGGAAGTCAGTGCATCGCACGGCTAAGGTTCATTGAAATATCAGTTTTTACATGATGGTTAACAGAAAACAAAGTTTGGAGAAAAAATGTCAGTAAATTTTTTTTTTTTTTTTATTTCTTACCCCTAAAAATGACCAAACAGTAAAATCTGATATACCTAATGTAGACCTCATCATATTAGCTCTCATACCTACATAGCATATAGCGAGTAACAAAGGTGCAATACCTTTGTAGTTTTTTTTTTTTTTTTTGCCAAAGTAATTTATGTGTAAATTATAATGGAAAATTATTTGCTATGCTTATACCACAAAGTTTCAAGTTAGCAATGAGTTTCAAGTTTCACAAAACAGGATATATTTTATTCATATATCATATTCACATAGCATAGCCACAACGAATATCAATCTATCTTCTGACCGCTTATCCTGGTCAGGGTTTTGGGGGGACATGGGATCTATCCTAGACAGCATAGAGCACAAG